TCTTAGTGAGTTTAGAATCCACAGACAAAGTCACTGAACTATCTCCATCCACTTCTGACACACACTGTTAATAAATACCACATACAGCAGTCTCTCAAGAGACCCACATACAAATAAAGCAATGTTGAAGAGTTTTGTGTAAAAACAGCCACTAAAGTAATCTCCTTTGCAAAAGCTCATTGAAGGTAATGAACAGAGTTAGAGAGATCTGGAACAATAGGCAGATGATTGCGATGCTTGTGCCTTACTTCACCTTCACATTTGTACAATACAACAATAGCTATCATAATGAGACGTTATTGTCTAATGCTAGACAATAACGTCTCATAATTCTACTTTGCAGTGAGCTTTTAAATTATGGCTTAAACTGCTTGAGAGTGTGTTGCCTGTAGGTTTGTGTGGGGGCAGAGTATTTAGGAAATATAGCTGGGGGGAGGGAGGGGGGGCTTGTGGATTTTTTTAACTTGACATTTCCAAGGATCAGCAAGAATCAATAGCAAAGGTCACGGAAGCAATAACCTCTGGCTTGTTGCGGCTTTCAGAACAGGAAGTCTGCGCATTGCCGCCCTGTCAATTGGCTAATGCCCCAACAGTATTTTTTTCCATCTACATCGACCAAGGGCTACGGGATGTTTGAAGGCGATGAGCAGCTGCATGTGAGCCTGATTTTCAGCTTGGGACCAACAGTAAAAAGAGAGAAACATTTACAGGCCTCTAGGTCTTAGGGACTAAGAGTTGGATTTTGCAGTCACTAAATTCTAAACAAATATTCAGACACCTTCTCTTGCCATCTTTTTCCAACCCATAATATACTTCCATTTAAAGTGGATCATTGGACTGTCACCCTGTACATTAGCACCGATTGGGTAGCCATTGCAAGTTCACAAAATTTCTCCAAATTCACCATGCTAGCAGTTAACCAAAGTCTTGTTAGTCCTTCTATAGCTATTGTGTGCTGGCATTACTTAAACTAGTTTTCTAGGTTCCATTGCTAGAGAAAGTTGTGTCTCTATAAAATGCTTTAAAATTGCAGCTGCAATGGAGACTCCAGTGTTTGGTGGCAGCACTGTCACACCCACCTCAATCCCAAAGCCCTATAAATCTGTAACGCATTGCGTGTACGATGGGGCCAAGCATAGCAGGTGAGAAGGTAAGGTATTCCCCCATCAGAGTCAGGGCGCCTAGGGCGGGTCCCATCTGGGAGATTTCAGGTGAGCTGCAAGGAGTGAGCACCACACCAACAGGAACAACCAGGAACCTACAGGTCGCCACGTTGCCCAACCCGCTTGACTGCCCAAATCAAATTCCCGCTAAGCCACAAATCCTAATCCACCTCAGTAATGCCCTTTAACCTCCCAGTCAAACAAGTCACCACAACTAGCAGTTCTAGTGCCTGCCCAAGAACACCCGGGAGACACACTGCCCAATTCTGGAACATAGGGAGCCGCCCCACCAGGAACCAAAGCAGGAACCAATGCGCCCAACACAGCCGAAGATAGTAGCAAGAGTGAGCCAGGGTGTCCAATCCAGTGTTTTCGACAAAGACCTGCAGGCAGGGTTGTGGGCTACTATCCAAGTCAAATGAAGTTGATGGCAGTAACATGATTGCCTGTGTAGATAAAGAGCTGAACAAGAAGTAATCAAACGAAAGAAAAGAAGTGCCTATGAAGTCAGGGACATATGTGTGTTTAATATGATGAACACTATTGAGAAAAGACACTTCAAATAATTTTTTTCACTCAACGTACATTCACATGCATTTTAGACACATTTCAAAGTCTTAATTTCTGTCATCTTTAAATAAATGTGTCTTTTTCCCACTTAAATTCTGAGTGAGGTGATACATCTTGGATGAAGGAGCTATGCAAAGTAATCAGAATGAGTTTGCTGTATCTTATTTGGACAGGAGATCAACGTGTTTGACCAAACTGCCTGGTTTCGTGAACACTGATGGTAAACCTCAGAGACTCGGCCATTATGAGGTCCATCAAGTGCACTGAGGGGGCATTGTGCCCCCCTAGATTGTAAACAACAAATCGATAGCTCATTTGTCATTTGGTTTGGAAGGAAACAAGTTTTTTTTCATGGGAGAGATCCACTTTTCCAATCCAAATGAACCAATCAATCTTGAGTCTCTCCTGGGGCCTTCTCTCCAGCAAGCAGGGTGAAGAAAGAGCACCAAATCCCCCACTCGGCCTACCTTTTCTCACTCATTTCTTTCTCCACGTCTTATCTCCTTCCTTTGCTCATCTCTTTTCCACTCCCGCTAATACTTGCTCAACCTCTGAAGCATCTCCATGTCTGTTTTTTCCTCAGACTGTGTCTGTTTCTGCAGTCTTTCTACACCACCACCCACGCTCGCTAGCTTTCCTGTGGTGCATTTGTGCTCCGAAAAGAGGGGAGGAGGAGAAAGGAACGGAGAAGAGAATGGGTTCCACTGTTCCGCACTGATGGTATTTTGTGTTTAAGTGGGGGGCAGAATGTTCCTGCCAGAGTGCTGCTGATGCTGAACGGGACTGGCAGGTGGATTATACCTTGTGCTGCTTTGTCCCTGGACAAATTTAAAGGCAGCCCAACAACTGGGCACCATGGGAGAATAGGTTCAGAGGGAGGTTTGGCCTGTATTTTTCTTCTTTGCTTCCGTCTTTACTGCTTTTCCTTCTCTGCTTTCGAAAGACAGAATGCTGTTGAGAATGTTTTCTCTCACTGTCTGTTTTGTACTTTTTTTTTTTACAACACACATGCACACCCAAACACAGTTTCATTGACACAAACTCTACACATAAAATTTTAATATCTGCCTGATATCCAAGCCATTCACAGCATTCACCTGGGTATCCTCATAAGAAATCATCAGAGGAAGTTATTTTGGTAGGTAGGTATTTAAATTAAGCTATAATGATTAATGATAAGCACAAAAACATCAAAAGATATTTAAAATATTAACATACTTTCTTGCCCTTGGGTGTCAGAGAAAACGTTTCAGCTTAAGAATCTTAAAAAATGGTTCAAAACTACTGCAGTAACTAAAACATTGGACACAGAAAAACTCTTCCGAACTTCTGGCAACTACTCAAAAATGTTATATTTCGAATATCTGAATATCAAACTTCAGATATCACGTTTATGCTCCTCCAATAGGGGCCCTTGCAAGGCTCTCCCAAATACAAGCACACTAAATACTCAACATGTGCACCTTTTAGCATGATGTACTGAAACTTTGCATTTGTAGAGCAGTTTGTTGAAATCCAGTCATGTTACAAAGGTGTTAAGGCATTCCATGATTTAGTGATTACATTTGAGTGGGAGGAGTTTATGTCGCATACCTCAGTGAGTTATAACCAACATTATGACATAAATGATGTATTGAACTTGTTAAACACAATTACCATCTTATATAACATTTTTCTTTGCCGAGGTATTTTAAGTTCAAATAACTATTGGCATTTTTCATTTTTGTGTAGGACATGTGCCTAACAAGACAGTCTGTACTAAAGAGAAACGTTCTGGGTTTTTATGTTCAATGTGTTAATAGTGCTTTCTTACAATCAAACTTCAATTTATTTCTATGGAAACGATGCTTCAGTGAAAAACAAGAGAATGCCCCTTTATTCCACAAATGTCCCAAAAATGTATTGCTTGTTATTTGTTGGAGATTTACCTCGTGTTTTTCTTCTTTTTTTTTTTTTTCAGAAGAACAATTATTCTCTACATTAATAAGTTGGTCAGCTAGAGTACTTTTGTTATTTTGTAAATAAAAGCTTTAATTATTGCTGTGAAACCTTCTAGCATGCTAATTAAGGCCTTGTATTAGCAACATAATTAATCTCGCTAAAAGTAGAAAGTTGCGTTTTTGTGAACATTTCAAAGTACGTCTTATTTGTAATGCAACATTAAATTGTTTAAAAAATCCATTAACAAATTAAAACTTCCATTATTATGATCATTATTTCAGAAAAGCATTTTAAAACAACCAAGTAGTTGCTTTGAGTGCAATTAAGAAAAAAAAAAAAACTAGCTACAAATAATTGTTTACAAGAAAGTTCATCAACATGCTAATGGACAAACTTAGCAAATTATGGAGTGATTTAGTTCAAATGAAGTCAAATCACTTTTGAATTCTTCATCAATCCAATTTCCAAAGTTTGTACTTCAGCTTTAGCTAGCTTACGTGTTTTGGAGAAGAACTGCTAAAACCTTCACATTTAACTTATTTACAAGAGAATCTTGTAAATTTGTTTGGAAAGCAATTTTGCATAAACAAAAGGAGATCCACTTATCACTGTTGTTAAGGTAATGCTTTTCTGAAAGCAACGCTCACATGCTAATAAGCTAGCACAGCATTTCTGTTAAGCTGAAGACCACAGGCTAGACAAGTGAGCAAATACTGTGGCTAACAGCTAACAGACTCCCAGTGTTATTCTACAAAGCACAGTGAAAAAGAAATAATATTCTCCATGATAAATATGTTTATTTAAACTTCTAACTTCAGGTAGATCTTCAAAACTTAAACTTTAAACAGTGATTTCTCAGTACACGTGTCTACGTGTTAAAATCAAAGTAACAAGTTGCCGTTTTAACTGTAATAAATCCTTGTTACCATTTCATCACATTACTGATTATTGTTGTAAATGTTTGTATTAGTATCATGGTTAAGTTATATAATCCACATTGCAAGAGTCCTACAGCTGCATATGCAAATGGGAAGTCCTAATGAAGCACATGAACTGGGTTTTAAAGATGATCAGACATAATGAGGAACCTGAAGTCAAACACATATTTCCAAGTATTGTAAATGATCAAGAACAGTTTAATGGCAACTAAAGACCAATGAAAATTAATTTATGTGTTGACATTATTGCAGATAAATTATGGGCAAAGCATCTACGTTTAAAGCAGAACATGCTTTTTGAACGGCCTCTTCAGCTCCTTTGTCCCTCTTGCCCTTGCTTTCTCTGTCTCTCTCTCTCACACACACACAGACAAAACCCACTGCGCTGTTCGCTCTATCCCTCTTCATCTTTATCAGTCAGTATACGTCTCGCCTCTGGTGGCTTGCTCCCTTTGGGTTTTGTGTAACTCTCCATATTGACTTTGTCCTGTCTCAAGAGATGATCTTGTCTCCCACAGGAGTCATTCTTCTTATGCACATTTATCCTTGCACATCTAAAAAAAGAGAGAGAGACAGAGAGAGAGAGAGACAGCCACCTGCATGGTGTGAACTGTATCATGCTGTTTTTCACTGGACTTTCCTTATTTTTTTATAACTACAAAACAAAACATATCTATTGATTTTAACAGGTGGATATCGTCAGCTTTATTAATGTTTTAACAGTCCTGCGGCAGTGCATGGAGATAGCACAATCTGTGGGACAATCTGGCTCCCCCTAGTTCTCCTAAAGGGATTGCAAAAAAAAAAAAATAAAATCTGCTGCAAATAAAAAAATAAAGCAACCATCTGCACGGAGGTAGTTGACTGCCTTCACACCTGACAAACGGTAGCGGCTCAACTCGACGCGAGTGTGGAGTGACAGCAGAGCCCCCTGCTTCACACATACACCACCACACAGCCAGGGGACTACTCAGCGGTGGAGCAACTTCAGCTCCCTGCTTTGGTGACTGAACTTTCACAAATGGAATATAATTTCAGTAAAGGCGTATCAAGTTGTGCTTGAGAGGTGATGTGTGAAAAGATCGTTGCTCAAAAATTTTCAGTGAGCTGCTTCAGGGCAAAAAAAAAGAAACCTCTGAAAAGCACCAACAGCCAAAATCTAAAACAATATTTTCAAGATTTTTTAGGAGGTGCACTTTAAGAGAGAAGGTTGCAAAAAATATCATACGGTATTTTATATTAATTTGCAAAACCATTTACAGCCCTTCAGTTTTTTTATGTTATGTAGTAACCCTCAATGTATTTTTGTTCCATTTTTATGTAGTAGACCAACACAAATTCAAGTTAAACTTGGTTTCAGTTCAGTTTATTTATACAGCGCCTATTCACAACTAATGTCATCAAGACACTTAACAGAAAAAAAACCTGTTTACGTACAGAATGACACATATTCCAATAAATGCTATTCTACAGTTTCCAATCGACCCTAGTTAAAAAAAACAGTCCAATCAAGTTTGTCATTATTACAATTGGTAAAAATCACTCTTGAACAAGAATTGCACACAGTAAGGCAGAATCCACTACTGCAAAGCTAAATAAAACATGTCCGTCCATCTATGACAACAAGCCAAGTGAGGAAAGAGTTAACCATAGAAGCAGCCAGGAGGTCTGGAGGAGCTGCAGAGACCAACAACTCCGGTGGGAGAATCCGTCAGCAGGGCAGTGCACTCCATAAAACTGACTTATGAAAGCGTGGAAATAAGGAAGTCACAGTTGAAAAAGAAGCCATGTTTAAAGTCTCCTAAAGGCATGTAGAGGTGCAGCAAACATGCAGAATTTTGCAAAACTTCGCTTTAGTAGTGATGTGTATGCAAGTCAGATGATAGGAAGATGTAAAAAGGTTGTTTTTTTTTAACATTATGTGTCTTTTTACTTCCACTCTACAATAATCCATAACTTTTTTGTTTGTCACATTAATTCAAAAATAAATGTTCATGAATATGAATGCTGTTACTAGGCATGACATTTTGTAGCTCCTTCTCTAATAACACTGTCTTTTGCTAACTTTGGTTGACACGGTTCATGATAAATGTATATCAATATATTAGTAATGCTCACTGTGACTGGTAAGTATAGTTCCACTTTATTTTTACCTCCCTCTCCTCACTCTGCTCCCTTCCTAACTCCTAATGCGAACACATAGCTCATAAATTACACACATTTTGTCACCATGCTAATGAGCTCATTAATATTGATGAGTGTAATTAGTGCCAATGATGAAAGGGTGGGGTCATTAGCTTCATCCAGACACAGCTGGACTCCACATTATAATATGAGGTCTGTTTACTCATACTTTCTTTTATCTTCTAGGCCGGCGTTAGCCAAGAGACTAGTTACGGGATCTTTTAGCCGTATAATTAATAGCCTGTCTGAGGACTGGTGTCAGAGCATCGACAAGGGTCAAAAGTAAGAGCAAAATGGTCATTTTAAAGATTATATATGGGTCAGTTCGAGATCCTTGTGGAGTTTCATCGAGTACAAATGCCATATTTTCACAATAAAGCAGGAGAAACAGGAAACAAAAACTACACTACTGTTTAAACGATACCACATTATCTGTAACATTTTATTTTGACTTTGATTCACCGCTTTAGTGAAGACACACCTACAAAATTTAACCTAAGTGTGGCTATTGCACACTTTATTAGCCTGTTTTACTATTTGTGTTGCGCTATGCCATGTACTTTACAGCTCATGGAAAGCACAGTTACTGCAGCAGTTTCTCTGGCATTAAATTAAATGGACCCTAAAGTGTAAGAAAGAAAGGATTGGATATTTTAGTCGTTTTAAAATCTGAACTTTTAAAAAATATCCATACAGTTGGATAACACAAATGGACAAGAAACTCAAATCTGTGCTGAAAACAACCCTTTTCAGTGTGGAAGTTGTTAGTGTTGGGAGAAGACTCGGCAGTTTAAAAACTAAGTCAGAGGAAGGACAAAAGAAGCTATTTAAAAATAAATTATTATTCCCTGTTTTGTGGAAAAAGTCAGGCTGTGCAAAATTGGAAAACAGGAAGGCTAAACAGGAAAGAGTAAAGATTTATCCTTTTGAATGTTCAATCTCTGTCCGTCTTGTCTGGGTTTGGATATGTTGGAATCATTGTGGTAGTATTGACTAGTTCAAAGCTAAATTGAGGACAAGATGAAATATTTCTCATTGAGAAGGCAAGCAGTTAGCTCATTTTCTGGTATTTACACTGTAGGAAAAAATACTAAGCTTGTCATATTTTTCCAGATATTAAATATTCTACAAGCTAAATAAAAAAAACAATGAATATTTCTACTTACAATGGAAACGGCAACAAAACCCCCCCCCAACAAGTTCGCATTCCATTTCACATTTGTCAGAAGTTCACAAGAAAAAGAAGAAGAAGAAAAAAAAAAGAGGTAGTATTTGGCGTAAATTTATCGTGATGCGCCGCACCGTTCCCCAGCCCTGGCCTTTAAACTCCTATATCCATGTTAAGTGCTCATACAAAGTGTTGTTCTTGGGTCTGAACCTCTGGCTTCACTTGAAACTCGGAGAGATTTGCGGGGAGCAAGGTCGACTTGCCTGCGGGTGTGCGTGTAACACACAATCACCTGATGCGAGGCTTTGCCTCTTCCTCCTCCATCTATCAATCGGGACATGCCCTCTGCTCCCTCAAATCAGTCTAGCCGAGTCCCATTACACCGCGGTGTTTCCACTTTTTCAGGGAAAATAACAGAAGCAGTTTCAGGTTTTGGGATCAAAGAAGAAATGTTTCCAAAAGGATTGTTGAAGTCTTCAAAGTCATCATTTAAATCCTTTATATGCGTCAGTCAAACATGATCTGCTGTTATGAGGGTTGAATGTGTGTAGTAAAGGCAAATTGGCTCAAATGGCCAGCATTTACACACCTAATTGTTGCTTTGAATCTAAAAACCTCTGTTTGTACAGCCGGTTGGTAATTAAATTCACAAACATTCTGAAATCCAAAGGCGTAAATGGTAGTCGGAGACCTATTTTGCATGTTTCTTTTTTTTTAAATAAATAAAAAATACATACGCCTAATGTTTGAATTTTACCTTCTGTATTTATTCCACAATCCATTTGGTTGCCCCTGTGTTCGTATTAACCTATTATATCTCAATCTGCAACATGTGCGATCCACTTAGATGGCTTTGTATCCGTTTGCTTTTCAGTGGGCATGTGTTGGCTCGACTCCATGCTTCCAAGGCTCAAGTTGTGATTTTCAATCCACTTTAACATCAGGGTGGACAGCTGAGCAGAATTAATCGAATTACTCGGACACATGCAGATGGACATGGGGTTTAATGTGGATTACTGCTCTGTTTAGAGAGCCAAGGGGGAACTGTCACAACAGGCAGATTCTACCAAAGTGCTACCCTGCTAACAGTTGCGTCGATTAGCAGGAAAATAGAAAAGAGCCAAAATAGAAAAGATCAAAATGTTAGAAATACCTAAAAAAAAATTGCATTGTAAAAACAAGAAAGGTTAGAGCTTGTAATGTTTGTGTATTAATAATTTCATGTAAAGTATCATTTAAAGTAAAAGTAACTGGACAAATGTGATCAGACCTTCTATGAAATTAAAATGCAAAAAGACACAAGACATATCTTGTGTCGAAGGTTTTTTGTGTCTAACAACTTGAGTCCACTAAAAGATCTCCAAAAGCAACTCGTCATGCTAGAGAAATTCAAGAACGGATGAGGACCAAAGCCTTCGTCACCAAGGTGAGCATTTTGTACACTGTATGTCATAAAAAGAGCATCATATTGCAAGTCCAATGCAGTTTATTGGTTGTTTTGTTGTTGTTTGTTTTAAAGTACATCCATCCTCTGTTTTTCTTCTGGAATAAAACAGTTTTGTTAAGACTCTTAATGTGAAAACTGAGTGAAATGTTCAGCCACTGAAGGACAGACTTGAGATCACAATTGAAAGGACTCGATTTGGAAGAAAAATAAATGAATACATGGATATACTGAACTGCTAAGTATAAACACTGAAGGTCAAAACACTGGAGATATCAGATTAAGAATGCACCTCTGCTTGTAAAACAAAGTGCAGCTTCAATTATTTCGAAAAGCAGTATTTCACTCAAACAAGTAAACTAAGCGGGAAAGCAATTTACTAGACACCGTTGATTTAATAGCTTATTTGTGTTTCCTACAGCAACCTTGCGGACGCTATGCAACTGGAGCGGGAGGAAAACAGAGATTTTTAAGTCACACTTTACGTTCTGGTTAGAGAGACGACAGAATCTGCTGCATTTCTACGTCATGACACCTTGACACGTACCTACAAATACCTCTGCGTTCTTCGCTCCCACAGCGGTTTATTAATACAGAAGGACACTTTGGAAACTAACTTAATCAGAGGAAGTGAGTCGGGAAATGAAAGGCCACAAAAAAAAAAAAAGAAGAAGAAGGAGAGCGAGTGTCTTGTGGAGACGATAGGGGGGGGGGGAAAAACAGCAAAGAGAGAAGGTGAAAGAATTCACCACATTAGTCCACCCATGATTTATTTCCCCCTCTAGGTGAAGGAGACACCATTTGTATTCATTTCCCCTTATTTTTATCCCAGATTCATCTTGCCTTCACATGCTTGTCACCGCCACGCTAATGTTATTTTGGCCATGTGATGTTCCATAACTGGCTCTTATAAAAATTGTCCCCTTGCGACAGCGGAGGATGGCACATGTGGAGCAGTGGAGGTGTTCTCCCTTAACTTCATTCATCAGTTTTTCCTTCATTTTTTCCCCCTTTGAACAGCGAGATTAACAGCTTCCTCAGGACAGGAGGGTGTGAAGGGTGGAGATAATGATGTCCATCCTACTGAGAGGCACTAGCATCTACAGTATGTCGCTCTGCTAGCTTTTATCGGTGTGCATGCTTAACAAGATAGGCTTTCCTTTTTTCCCCCTCTCATTTTTTAAACTTTGCATGACAAGGTGAACCCAATGTGCTCCAACCCAAGGACAAAGACATCCATGACCATGAGCTCACTTGCAGGGCTTTGCAGGACAATTAGATGAGAGTGAAGGGTGACTGCAGTCGAGTTTCAGGACGGTACACACACATGTACATAGGACCATCAAGGAGTCCAGGGACACATAAGTAGATCCACATGATGCATTTGAAATTTATTTGCTCTACCAGATTAGCTAAATTGAATATGTCTTGGATCTTTGATTGTGTTCAGTATTGAATTTTTAGGTTCAGGTTTGACCAATTTATTTTAGATTTTGATCAAGGTTAGTCGCCTTCACAAATCCCAAACAAGAATCCAGCAATTCTCCTGCTATCACGGAAAGGAAATCTACAATTAAGATACCAACAATCACCCTTGTGCACACGGTGCTCACATCCTTTCCCTTACTTTCTGCTATGCTACAGCTAGTAGCTAGCCTAATAGCTTGTGTGAATGTGCAACTAGTTCGCATGGTCACCGAACAGTTTTTCTGTAATGTTAAGTTATTTATCTGCCATTAGCACAATGAACAGCACATACACAAGCCTGATTGACAGCTTTAAGACCCTCCTCATGGTTCTGGTTGTTTCTGACTGGGAGCAGACAGGAACATGTGTATGTTTCCATACACATATAGCAGAGGAGCTTTTTTTTCACAGATTAAATGTCTTATACAGTCAGGACAGAGTGCGGCAGTTTTAACAAATATGTAAAATACTATTGTTTATAAAAGTTGAATACTGCAGCTTTAAGGAGCTGTTCATTAAGCAAAGTTACAAGTTTATAAGACATGAATCTTCTCAAGGATCTATGTTTACCTTTGAGGTCTTTAGTCTCCAGCAGTTTAAAGGCAAATCTTCATGAAGGGCTTAGCTAGACAAGCAATAGAAAACTCCTTTGAAGAGCAAATGACTTTCCCACACACCAAATTTTACTGTGTTAAATCAACACTTGGATATAAATTTAACATGATGCCTAAGTCTATTTGGTCCTCAGTAGAACTGGTGTTAATTTAACTCTTTCTACTCAATCTGTTGCTGAAATAACAGAAACATTTACTGTGTACTACTTTTTCTGCTTCGACTGAATGGCAGTCTGGGCGGTGAGTCATATCACCCTATTTAAGAATCGTCACCAGTCGGACTTTATGATTAGGCAGTCAAATCTTTTCATTAAGGAGCTACTTTTGTCAACAATGCAATGTTTTCATTAGCCGCAACGCGACAATGTTTTAATTAATATCTAGGAGAGTCGAGCCATTTTCTTTTTAGTGCTTAAACTGTAACAACACACAGGGACAGCCTCTCCCAGAGGGCCAGACATAAAAGCAAGCAATAGAAAACTCCTCTGTAGCCCAACTGAAATTATCTTTTTCTGTGTGCTCATGCTACCCCTTGATGTAACAGCAACCACAGCATAAAACCATCATACCAAATTTAGATCTGGCTGTTGCATTTCTATATTAAGGA